GACCAACCATTGAGCCAATTTGAATGTTACCAACATAGAGTTGAGAAAGGGAGCATTACAAACATAGTGACTTTTATTATATATGATAAGTTTAAGCTCGTTCTTTTATATAGAAATATTCAAATAAATCCTGAATCTCCCCCTATTATGAGCATTGTGACATTTGTTCTCTAGGTCTTCCCCTTTTCTTAATATATTTAACACCCTCTCTGAAGAATGTAATTTAATATAAATTACTGATTATAATGTAGATATTACTAAGGCCTAGTCAATTTTTATAGCCTTCAATCTTATTTGTTTATAAAGTCATAAACTAGAAAATTAGACACACTTGCCACATATACTGTTTCTTAAATTACTCTTTTTGTATATATAATTTATAACTAATAGAAAGGCAAGGTTTTAATCTATCTAATGACATATAATGCTTTTTTGTTTTTAGTACAGAGTATTGTCAGTTTCATCTTCAGTTTGAAAGTTTATCTAGCTGTAATCAGATCGAGTAGCTAAGGGAATTTTTTGAGCCCCTCTTGTATTAGAAAACTAGTTAAATTATAAGAGTTATAGGACATTGCTTTGTGCATGCTATTATTTTGTGTTCTTAGGTGAATTATTTAAGTAAAAAAAATTTAATGTATCCTAATTTTTTGGTTTTTATGTATATTTTTATATATTGTTATAAAAGTAACTCAAATATGAAAGTGAGAAACTTGTTAGGATAAATAAGGTTAGATTATGTAACATAATGGAAAATAATAATAATAATTTTCCACAAGGTATTTTTGCAAGCAGCTGGTGTATAAAGTCATTCAATATGGTAACATGAGCTCTGTATTCCTTGAGTGATTTACAACTTTTGTCTTGTGATTATTAGTTAGACATAGTATAAAGGGCAATAAAGCAATAAAATTAAACAGAAACTGATTTAGATTTATTTCATATTTTTTGTGGTGGTTACAAGGTTGGTCAACTGGACCGAGTCTGTATACAGTTAGGGTAGACAACATATCAGATAAAATATAAAGTTTTATTGAAAGACAAAATGTTTGAAATTTAGTTATGAGGGTTTAGAAGTTATGCAAATGAATTATGACCTGGTGGTTAGGGTGCTCAATTAGCAGTCTGCTGGCTGCAGGTTCAAATTCTCTTCACTGAACATGCCTTGCCCTTTCAGTCATTATAATGTGATAGTCAGTCCAACTATTCATTGGTAAAAAGAGTAGCCCAAGAGTTGGTGGTGGGTGATGTTGACTAGCTGCCTTCACTGCTGCTGAACTAGGGATGGCTAGTGCAGATAGCTGTCAAGTAGCTTTATGCAAAATTCAAAACAAACACAAATGAAATTTGAAAATTTTCAAATGAAAAAAAGTATTTTTAATATTAACCTGAATATCACTTTGCACTCAGAGCAGTCAACACTCTGACATCATATATTCACTGATAAATCTTTAGTAAAATACTTAACTAAAAATTTTGATATTTTGTGTAAAAAAAAAAAGATTCGTAGTGTTTACTGAAAGCTTGCCAAATTTTGTGAAGGTCAATCACATTGGCTGACCCTGTGTGGATAGAGTTAAACAAAGAAAAAAAGAAGTTATGAGGTAGGTATTTTGTCAATATGGAAAACAGTGTTTTAGAGAAATTTCAAAAACTAACTATTTAGAAAATGTGTACCAAATTTAATGGTAGTAGATTTTTGTAATTTTATGAGCACTATAAAGTTGATTCATATTGAATCAACTGTAATTGTTATGGTTAAGTGGTGACTTAAAACAAAGATGTGGCCAATTGGGCATGTAAAAAATTCTCAATGTCCTGAAAACAGAAACATAATTGATTGGGTAGTTTATGTTATTTGATTAAATACATGTATATAATGGTATAGCAGTTATTGGAATTTTATTTTTGTAAAGCTTTACTTTTATAATGCATCATTCTTTCACAGACACACCCACAGCTGTGTTCTGGTGCGGATGAATCTCTGTATAAATTGAAACAAAATGAAACCCAAAATAATTGATCAGCAGCACTGATGTAGCTTTCTATGTATGGGCTGGGCCATTTTGGCTGACCTTGTGACCACAATGTAGCAAAAAACTATGATGTAACTCTTAAGTTACCCTTTTTTTTCTTTCTAGAGAGACTGCATATTGTAACAGGCAGTTAAATACTTATTTATTCCTACAGCTAAAATTAATACTTTTCAAATCTCGTGGTCATTTAGATTTATTGCTTTACAGCTACACTTAGGGTCCAGTGAAAGCAATTTATTACAGTGGTGTAGCTTTGTGTAAACAAAGGATCTAGTTACCAGCACCCACAGTTAAATAGGCTATGGAATAATTTTGTATTTAATTTTTTTTTTCACTTAAGGATTTGTATCTAATGTAAGAAGTTTCTGGTGTTTGTATTTAAGTTACTTTATTACAATAAATAAAAATATACATTAAAAACAAGAAATTTAGTGCTTATGTGTGGGTCTTGTACTTTTTTGCTCTCAATGTCTCGATAAAAGTTACCCCTACTTTTTTTGGTAGGTTTGTTGTTAATACTTTGTTTGTTTTTTTGTTGTTTTTTTTCAAATATTCAGTTTAAACAAAATGTTAACACACACATTTAACGCATTTAATTTATCAAAACACGTGTTGTTGTTACCTGCAATGTATTTTATACAACTCTGTTTCGTATTTCTTGATGCTCCCCCTGTTAGGATTGTTCTGTGATAGTATACAGTGTCCTTTATAATGAAGTTATAAGTGGGTTAAAATAATTCTGCTGGCTGGTCAAGGTGACTCGGAGATAGCAAAGAATAAAACTGTAAGCTGAATACTTCATAAACTGTCATCAGAATAAGCTAGCCTTGTAAGGAATTAACTAATTAAAATTTTCACTTTCTGCTGGTTATAATTAATCCAATAAGAAATGTCAGAATTATTAAAAAATTTTTGAAAGACAGGTTATGATAGGAAAGCATAACATGCGAGTTTGACTTTCTGGTTTATATCTCAGTAAAGCAAGAAGATTTGTGGTTGTAAGTTTGAGATTATGGCTTAGCAGTATCTGTTCTATAAGTGTGTAATTTGTATTAAATTCAGGAGATCATAAAGGGGCAGAAAGAATATATAAAATAGGCAATTTACAGTGAAAAAGTGTCGTATGATACAGAAAAGGAAAGATTGTGAAACCGTTTGAATATTTCCCTATGAAATTAAGTAATTAAAACTTAGAACATATACAAATTTGAATTATAAACTATGTTTTGATGCCAAGTTTGTTGCCATACTTCAATAGTAGTTTAAATTGTGAATGTAACTCACTTTAGAATTTTCTAAGTTCTAAAAGAGACTGCTGAAGTTTTCACTCATTTAGAAATGCGTGCACTTTGAAATACCTGCATTCAGAGAATTGAATTGGTGAACTCATATTTAGTTACAGTTCACAGCTATGGTACAAAATGTTTTCAACAGTAGTTAACTTTCAACACAGGTTCAGTCAATTTCACCAACCATATGACTTTTTTGTACTCGTTTAGTCTTTATTGTGTTTATACTACTAACTTTTAATATAGTACGTATATCTTCACAAAATTTAGCAGACTTTCAGTAAACATTAAAGTCTTTCACATAACTAAAAAGATATTCATCCGTGAATATATCAAGTATGTTTTTTACTAGTCCATGTGCAAAGTGGTTTTTATGTTAAAATTAAAAATACTTCCTCTAAAAAATCTCAAATTTAATTTGTGTAATCTCAAAACCTTCTAAATAAATCTCAGATGTTTTCAGTAAAACTTTATATATTGTCTGTTATTTTCTCTACCCTAACTGTATACAAGGTTGGTCAATTTGACCGACCTCCAAACCACCAAAAAAATCTAAATTTCCCTTTCTTTATTTTTAGAAGGACATCAGATTGTAACATGAAACTACATTCGTTTTAACCTAAGTAACTTTAAAGAGTATAAATCTATTTATATTCAAATATTATTGTTTTATTGCTCTTTGATTGTCTTTTGAACTGTGTCTAACTACTATTCACGCATTATAAGTTGTAAATCATCTGGGGAATGTGGAATTCACGCGTGTTCTTCATGAAACATTGTTATTATTTATTTCACCTAATTTAATCTTAACTAACCTAAAAGAGATCCCTATTTTTACATTTTAGTTACTTTTATAATAAATAAATAAAGAATAAACACAGTAAAATCAGGAAATAAAGTACTTACCTGTTTTTTTTTGTTTTTTTTAAATTGAATAATCCACCAAAGAACATAGAATGATAACATACAAAAAGCAGACAATTTCCTCTAACTATCACAATATTCTGGCTTTCTAACTATGCAACAAGTTCATCCAAGCTAGTTGTTATTTTTCTAGTAGGAACGAGCTTGTACTAACAGAGAAATTGACAATTATCCATTCAGAAAACTAAGCTATATGGTACATCATGTGATAGATGAAAACCTTGGCTTTCTATTGGTTACAGATGATATATAATTAAATGTAAGAGAGAACTATTAACAAATCCTGAAAGAGAGGATGTGACGGGTGGGTGTGGCAAGAGGGTTCTGATTTTCTATTTGATAGCTCTGTAATGAAACAAAATTGAAGGCTATAAGAATTATGGTTTGTCTGGCAATTTTATTGTGAGAAATTTACATTATATTTTGTACTTATTGGAGGGGTGGTTAAAACTTATATACTAATAAAGTATGGATTATTAGCTGTGATTAACATCGTTATTAAAAGAATACACAATGGTAATTGTATGAATGTAGTGTATATTTTATAAAGGGCTTCTTCCAACTTAAGAACAATCTTAGACTGATAAGTTATGTACCTTTAATTTTTAATCAAAGTATCTAGCTGACAAAAATTATAACTACTTATTTGACATAACTTTTTAAGTTCTTTATAACGCTTGTCTGTATTGATCAGAAGAGTATGTTTTTTTCTTGCAAGATAATCCATGAAAAATATCATTTTGTTCTTTAATAGATAAAACCATCAAGCTGTGGAAAGTATCTGAAAGAGACAAGACAATTGATGGGTACAACCTGAAAGATGGAAATGGACAGATGAAAGATCCCTCATCTATCACCACACTACATATACCAGTAGTAAAACCTATGGAGCTAATGGTAGAAGCTAGTCCCAGGAGGATATTTGCAAATGCTCACTCATACCACATCAATTCCATTTCAGTGAACAGTGACCAAGAAACTTACCTCTCAGCTGATGACTTGAGGATTAATTTGTGGCATTTAGAAATTACAGACCAAAGCTTTAGTATCCTTTATATTGATATCATAATGTAGAGTTTAACCCATTGACTGCTGATTCGCCAAATAACGTACAGTTTACCTCTGGCAGTTGAATGTAAGTGTGCTGTATACAGTGTACAGCTTGTGAAAATTCTGTTTAAAGCAGCCTTATTTAAAGGGTTAAAGAGATACTGTTTATTAATTTTTAAGTATGAGGCATCAATAAAAGGGAAAAAATACTGTTTGAGGTATATATTACCATAGAATGCTGAGATATTAGTAATGCTATTTTTTTGGTCAAAATAGTGACACAAATTTTCTATAAAATAGTTTAGTTAGAGAAAAATTATCATTAAACTAGAAATTTCAGTTAGTTTAATTCTCTCCTAATTATCGATCAGGTCACTAAACATTTAACTATCTTTAATATCAATGTATGTTAGTAATCATGGCATGAAAATGGATTTATAAATAAATTTTTTTTATTATCTAAGTTTTGACTTATTATTAAAATATAATCTCAAACTTCATTTTTATGTCACATAATGTATCTAAGCTTCAAATTCTTCACTAAGTTCTAAAAAAAGATTGCTGGAGTTTTCACCCAATTAGAAACACAAACATTACATAATGACAAGCAAGAATCTAAAATTTCAGCTTACTATCTTCATTATTTGCCGAGATATTACTAAGTCTATCAAAATTAATAAAGAATTCCACCTCTTTCTGACTTTTGAGATTGTTTGTTAATCAACTTTACATGACTGATTTTATGTTTTTCATGTTACAGTGCTTAGTGACGAAATCATTCTTTTTTTTTTATATAAACTCCATAAAAGAAAACTGGGTTTGTTTTTTTATTGTTTGCTTTCTCATAAGTTATAAGAGTAAGAAAGTGTTACAACTAAATTACAATGAAACTATATTTAATTCAGGCCTCAACAAATGTTTTCATATCTAGGAGCCAGCCCAAAAACTCAGGAGCCAGGTGTGACTAACTTAACTTCATTAGTATTTGTATCGGGAAATGGGGTCATACTTGTGCCTGGATTATCCACACCTCCATTACCTGAGGTTTTTTCTTTTCCCCAGATTTTCTCAAAATAATTGTGCCACTACATTTGTAGACAATAATTTACATGTTTTGGAGAAATGGTCACTCAAAATTAATTTCACAAAACCCCCGGATATCGTGCAACACCTGAACTTTTGCATGATATCTGGGGGTTTTTATGTGCAGGATCTGGCATGCATTCAAATCATAAATTGGCAGATTCAAGGCTAACCTTGTCTCTCAATTTTAGCTGTGAGACAGGAATGCAAAATATTTGTAGTTTGGTTAACTTTATTTGATTAGTGATTAAAAAACAGTATAAAAAATACACATTAAGATTTCACTCCATTTGTTATCTGCTGTCCTGTGCTACATAGAGGGCTTTCTTTAATCACAGATGCATGTTCAGATTGTATTGGGGTGTTGCCAAGTTTTACACATTGTTCTTTTCCCTACAGATAATTGGTACCATCAGTCTGTTTTAACAGACTTTTTTGTAATAATTCCCAAGCATAGACTTGCACTAATTTTTGACTTATTTTTTACACTCATTGGTAGGGTGCAAATGCACTTCCATGTCTCTAGCATCAAAAATGCTGAAATTTAGTAGCTATTTACACCTATGTTAGCAATTAGATTCAACTAAAATGTGAACAGGCAATCAAAAGAGGAAGTATTATAGGAGGAAAAGTGGAATTTGACTTGTGTAACTTATGAAATTTGGAGAAATCAAGTGACCGACTGACTGATTGACTGACACTTAGCTTTTTGAAAAACATGAAAAAGTGCTGAATTCACCATTATAATCCTAGAAACAGAGTTCGATTTCAGACTTCCAAGAGTCCAGAACTGTTCTAAATTTGAGTTTTATTTAGCACATCTCAATGCATGAATAAAACGGGAGAAAATGCTAGGTGCCACAATGAAAGTTTTAGTCACCATGGCTACTTGGCACCCAACATTTGTTGAGGCTTGATTTAATTTGATTTAAAAATGGTTTCTTACAGTGTTTCTTATTACTTAACACTGCTGAAGATATTGTTGATATTAAGCCCACAAACATGGAAGAACTAACTGAAGTCATCACTGCAGCAGAATTCCACCCTTCCCAGTGTAATGTATTTGTGTACAGTAGTAGTAAAGGAACTATTAGGTTGTGTGACATGAGATCATCAGCTCTTTGTGACCACCATACAAAATGTAAGAATTATATTTTGAATACACTATTTAACTTTTTAATCAGTGTAATTATATAATTAATTGTATACTTAAATAGTCAGGTTTGTATCATATTTAACTTTTTTTTTTCATATGGCCATCTTTATCTGTACATGTCACAAAGTTTTACGGAGTTACTTTCAAAATTTAATTAAACTACATTATTATCATAGTATATGAATAAACTTGGCATCAAAACACAGCTAATGATTCAAATCTTAATATTATACAAGTTTTCTTAATTTTATAAGGCAATATTAAAAAAGTCCCCAATTTCTCCTTAGTATGAGAATTTTGAAATTTGCTCTGTAGGTCTCCTACAGCTTTATAGCCTTAAATTGTATTTGGTTACAGAGCCATAAACTAGAAAATCAGACTTACCATGCCCACCTGACACATCCTCTATCTCATAAATTGTCCATAGTTCTCTCTGATGCTTATTACAATATTATTGATAACCTATAGGAAGCCAAAGTTTTAATCTATCAAGTTATATGTTATGTTGTTTTCTGTACATAGAATTGTCTATTTTGCTTCCAGTTCAAACTATACCTATGGGAAACACATTGACAAGCTTAGCTGAAATTTTTACAGCTTTTATTGCATAGTTAGGAAGCTTTAAAAATTATGACAGTTATAGGATATTGTCTGCTTTTTATGTGGTATTATTCTGTGCTCTTAGGTGCATTATTAAATCAAATAAAAATTATTTAGTGCATTAGTACCATTAGTATAAAAAGTAGGGTTAAGTTTTGTGAACAGCAGACAGCCAAAAAAAGGCCCAGGTAAGTATTATATTTGTTTTTCATGTGTATTCTTTATTTATTTTTATAAAAGTAACTAAAATGTAAAAATTAGAAACATTTTAAGTTAGATTAGGTAAAATAAAGATAAAAAATAACAGAAAATTTTCATGAGGTACATTAACAAGTAACCTGTGCCTTACATAAATTGATAGGATAATGTGAGCTACTTGTTTGCCAAATGATTTACAATTTGTATGATGGGATTAATAATTAGACACAGTTCAAAGGGCAATAAAATTCAAGTAGAAACAGATGTATACTGTTATGAGTTTTGTGCTATTCAGGATAAACAATTGTAGTTTCATATTATAATTTGAAGTCATTCTAGAAATAAAAAAGGGTAATTTAGATTTATTTCTTATTTTTTATGATGTCTGCCAAATTGACTGGGTGTGTATACAATTAGGGTAGACAAAGTAACAGATAAAATATAAACTTTTATTGAAAAAAGTTTGAAATTTTAGAGATTGCATAAATTCAAAACAAACACAAATGAAATTTGACAATTTTCAAATGAAGAAAAGTATTTTTAATCTTAACATGAAAACCACTTTGCACTTGAAGGAATCAACACTTTGACTCCACATATTCACAGAAAATTTTTTACTGAAAATACTTCATCAAACATTTTGATTTTTTGTCTAGAAAAGATGTAATTCTTACTGAAGGCTTACAAAATTTCATGAAGATGCACTAAACGTATTATCATTTATTATATGAAACTATAAAGGTCAATATGGGGTCATGAACTTGGCCAGTTTGACCGAGCCTGTAGCAAGAGTATTAAGGATTACTGTATTTCAGTTGTAGTAATGATAAATCTTTGTCATTTGTGTGTGTTCTTGTATTTATTGATTTTGAAACCAAATGTAGATAACCACTAAATGTAAAATATTTAAAAGACTTGTACATAGCCGTAATATGTTGCAAAATTATTGTACTGCATTATAGTCTCTTCTTTTGAGTGTATATAATGTTTACAGAGGAGTGTTTTAGGATCTTGGGTAGTAAACTTTTATTTTAATTAACCCTATCACCCTGGGTACCCTTTACTGAGCATGATACAAGGTTTTAGTGTCTTGCATTCAAATTTTATTAAATACTTTTTGTTTATATTATACCAATTAATATAGCATAAAATCTTAGCTAATAATCCATATTTTAATAGTATACAAGTTTTAAGTTCTTAATTCTACAAAGCAATATTTAAAAAATCCTGAATTTCCACTAGTGTGACCCATGTGACACATTTTGTCTTAGCATATCATCATCCCTATTTTATTGCCATCCCCCCCAGAAAATGTATGAAATTAAACGTAAATCACTCTCTCTATAGAATCATTATTGCTCAAACAAACTATAATTTTTATAGCCTTAAATTTTGTTTTGTTACAGAGCTATTGAATAGGAAATCAGGCCCCTCCTGCCACACCCACTTGTCACGTCCTCTGTTTCATAATTGATTCTCTCTTACGTTTGATTATATATTACCTATAACCAATAGAAAGTCAAGGTTTTCATCCATCAAATGACCTATTGTATAAGGTTGTATTCTGAAGAGAATATCATCAATTTCACTCACAGTACATAATTTGTTTCCGTGGGAAAGTTAATGACTGGCTTGGATGAATCTATAACAGCTCTTGTTGCATGGTTAGAAAACTAGGAAAATTTTGAGAGGTAAATGAATTTGTTTACATTTTGCATGTTATTAGTCTATATTCTTTGGTGCATTATTTAATTAAATAAAAATTAAGTGCATTACTACCTATAGTATAAAAAATTAGGGTTAACTCTCGTCATGAACCTGAGAGCAAGAAAAAAGATTGGGTAAGTACTTTACTTCTTGTTTTTCATATTTATTCTCTATTTATTATTATAAAAGTAACTAAAATGTAAAAAAAAAAGAATCTTTTAAAGTTATTTAAGACTAGATTAGGTAAAATAAGTATTTATAATAATATAATTAAAATGGTTCGTGAGTTACACACGGGAGCAGCTCGTGGGTAATGTAATTTGATAGTGCGTAATGTGAGCTGCACGTTTCTCGAGTGATTTAAAACTTATAATGGAGCGGATAGCAGTTAGACACAGTTCAAAGGGCAATAAAACAATAAAATTTAACTATAAATAGATGTATGATGTTATGAACTTAGAGCTACTTAGGATAAATGAATGTAGTTTCATGTTACAATTTGATGTCATTCTAGAAAGAAAAAAGGGTAATTTAGGTTTATTTCGATTTTTTTTTTTTTAGGTGGTTACAAGGTCAGTTGAATCGGCCACTCCCGTTATAAAATGTTTATTAAAAAAAACGTTTGAAATGCATTAAGGAGGTTTTGGGGATTATACTTAAGAAATTTGAGATTTTTGATATGAGGAAAAGTATTTTTAAAATTTAACATGAAAATTACTTTGCATGTGGACATTCAAAACAGATATGCAATGTATTAATGGACAATTCTTTATTTTATTTTATAAAAATAATTCACTAAAAATATTATTTTTTGTATGTGAAAGACATAATATGAACTAAAAGACTGCCAAATTTTGTGAAGATATACACAATATATTGAAAGTTAGAAGTATTAAATCTATAAAGACTTTAATCGAATACAAAGAGGTTACATCGTCGGTCAAATTGGCCAAGCCCATGTTGAGAGAGTTAATAATCCTTCCTTTATAGATGTGAGAAGAAACTAGATTGGAGTAGTCAAACTGAAGTTTTCACATGCTTTCAGTATTGGATATACAAAAATAGAGATCCCACCATAGGTGTTTTATTGGAAATTATGTATAGTTAATATTGTTTTACAGTGTTTGAAGAGCAAGAATATCTTGCATCTAGAAATTTATTTTTAGTTTATATCTAGTTTTTGTTGTCTTACAGTGTTTGAAGAACCAGAAGATCCCACAAGTAGGAGTTTCTTCTCAGAAATAATATCTAGTATATCAGATGTGAAGTTTAGTAATAATGGACGGTACATGATTTCCAGGGACTATTTATCTGTGAAAGTGTGGGACTTGAACATGGACACTAAGCCTGTTGAATGTTATCATGTGCATGAATATCTAAGGTCCAAGCTGTGTAGTTTATATGAAAATGATTGTATCTTTGACAAATTTGAGTGTTGTTGGAATGGAACAGACAGGTAAAATAATTCAATTTTTCTTGGTGTAGTTTTAGGCACAGTTATACATGTGTGCTTAAATTTGATATTGATAATGCAATTTATTATAATAATCAGTTTATGTAAAGTTATAAATAACAGATAAATGCTTTGGTGTATTAAAAATTTTGCAAAGATAAACTAGTATGAAAGTAGGAAAAATATATTTCATGTGTTTTTATTTTTTATGTTACATGAGAAGCAAGGAAAATGTTTTAAAATGTGATTTAATACACAATATACAGTTTTTTAAATAAACAATATTTTATTACTGTAAGGTTGGAATTATGTTTTATCTTATATAAAGTGTGAAAAGAGTACTTATTGCCCTGTGTAAAATATTTCTATTCCAAATTGTCATATAAGATATTGTTAGAAATCTTAACTTTAAACAAAATAGATTAAAGGTTAGGCAAAGCATTTAAATATCTGTATGAAAATTTAACTAAATAGATAGTTATATCTAAGAAAAAAAAATTAGTTTGTCATTAGCTCTTGGCATAGTTTGCATATTTATGAGTATCATAATATTTTGTATCATAGTTAAAGGATTAAATCCTAATAAGAATGCTATTTATAAAAGTGTTAGCAACTTGGGAATATCTTTGAATGTGCAGTTTGTATAAAGTGCTTGCTTAGCTTGTATATCATTATAAGACCCCTTCACCAAATAGGAAACAATATTTAATTTATTTTCTGATGGCTTTTCTGGAATAAGCATATACAGCTATTTTAATATATACTTCCAGCTTCTGAATGTTATGATACAAAAAAATCAGTGAATGGTGTGTTTCAAATTCTGCATACATTTGATCTGAACTTTAAAATGCAAGTTTGTAAATTTCATTTGAAAGTACACCTTTTATGGGAACTAATGCTACAGTTTGTTTTAAAATATCAAAGTACTGCTACTGTAATTTCATCTTATGGGATGTAATTAAACAACTGAATTCCACTTGGATAGCATTTTGTTCCTAAAGAACATAGTTGTGTGGATAATTTTTCTGCTTTGAATGTAATCATTTTGTAACATACAAGCCAATTTTATATGGTAGTTTGGAAGATTGATTTTCTTCTAACATATTAAAAGAAATTTGTTAATTAATGTAAAAACAAGATTAAGTTTAGTAATTATTTTGAACTTATACTATCTTAGTTGAAACTATCCTACTAAGAATTCTCCTACATGTAAAAAATATCTTCAAAGTAACTAAATATAATCTAATGTATTTGTCCATGTTTGGTTGATTTTTCAAGGAAAGTGATTTCTGTAAAAAACAAAATTGTATTATATGTAATTCTCTTTGCAGTTCAGTTTTGTCTTGATTAGGAAATAGAGGGCTTGTATTTTAGTTATTCATTGATTTTGTTGTGTTTCAGCTGTTTAATCACAGGATCATATAATAACTTCTTTCGGGTTTTTGACCGCAACACCAGGCGTGATGTAACATTAGAAGCTTCTAGAGATATAGCCAAAGCTAGGACAGTACTCAGGCCAAGAAAGGTATAACTTAAGACTTGCACGCTAGGTACCAGCTCTTATTAATAATTTTGTAATTTCTCTAGGAATTTGCTATGTACCTGAAAAGAAGTGTTATTTTCTGATAATTTTTTTTGTAAAGAAAAAAACATTTTTTGCAAGATTTAGGATTTCTATTAATTGCAAGTTTTAGTTTTAGCTCAATTTAAAAGTAATTAATTTATTTGTTTTCCAGTTGTCTTAAATGCAGATCCAAAGTAAATGAAAAGTGAGAGGGAATGTTTAGACTTTGTTCAGTAACATAACTTTTTTGAACATATGTTATCTTTTAGTTTTATATCTTTTGCTGAAAGCTGAAGAATTCAAACAAAAGAATTACTGCTTTTAATCATTATATCTGGAACATTTTTAGGTTGGCACGGGTGGGAAAAGAAAGAAAGATGAAATAGGTGTAGACTGTTTAGATTTTAGCCGAAAAATTCTGCACACAGCGTGGCACCCTCAAGAAAACATCATTGCTGTAGCAGCAACCAATAACTTATACATCTTTCAAGAGAAGCTGTAGTTATTATATCAGTTTAGTATTAATTTTATAAGGTAAGTTTTTTTTTTCTACTTTTCTTAGAATTAAATTACATGTAAAACATAATTTTCTAACCTTACTGGTGTTCATACCATTTGAAAAACAATTAAAGCCTACTGTAACATTGCTCTTTGTAGTGTGAATGATAACATTAGTGAACAGCATTCTGGTGCAGACAAGATTGTATTTTTTTGTAAGTCTTAAAAAAATGATTAAACAGTAATAGAAATACATTAGGTTATTTAACCTTTACATATAGGCTTAATCAATTTGACTAACCTTGTAACCAACATATAACATGAACATTATAAAATTAATATCTGTTTTATAAAAATATGAAGAATGAATTGTTTAACCCTATTGCTACAGGTGTTCCTGTGGTCAGAGGTCATGTTTGTAGACTTACATTCAAAATTTTATTGAACTACTATTTTATGAATGTATGTCAGTTTGTTTGGTATCCAATTGTAGGTTATAAGTCAAATTTTAATATTATATATTAGTTAATTTCTTAATTTAACAGTAATTATGAAAACAAAATTCCTAAATATTAATTTTTTTTTGTGTCACGTGGTATGTTGAATGCAGCTTTGGTTCAAATTAGATGATTGTGAGGTCCAAATACAGAGTTTATAGTTTCTTATGAATTAGAAACTAATTACTGATACTGACAAGCTAGAATTTAAAATAAGAGTCTCCTGTCTTTTCTATTTGCTGAAATATCACTATATTTAGTAAATCAAACACACTGGCCCCACCCACCTTGCTGCAGATGTGATAGTAAGAAAGCTTTTCGGTACTTGAATATCATTTCTTTGAACATTCAAACAAGTTTATTTCAACAGATGCCCTTGTATATTGTTTCACTATACAGGCAAAACTAGTGAATGTATGTAATAGTTTACGGTACAGGTGGTTTGAATAACACTGCTTGACCCCAGTTTCATGATACATCCTGTTACAAGAGATTACCAAAGGATACAGACACCATAAATTACAAAGAAATTTACTTTACAGCATTTAAAAGATTAGTCCTGGTCACATTCCTCTCATTACAGGCAAGATTTATGTTGGAATTCAAAACTTAAGCTCTTCAGTGTATTGATACTCGAACTCTGAAAATATCATAGCTTCCCCTGTATTATTGAGACAAATGTGTTTAATCTGTTTCACAACCAACATATGGGTTTTATTGTTGTTACTTGTACACTGAGTTTTAAACCCTTTGCAAAATATCAGAATAAACTTTTTATATATCAGTTAGACTGTCTTAATTATAAAGCAATAACAACAGAAGTGTGGGTCTTACTACAAAGTAAAGATAGTAAGAAGGAAAAATATAAAATTCTTACGTGGTACTAGTAGTATGTACAAATCACACAAGGTTATTCTAAATACTGAATCATATTTTTTTATTATGAACTAAATATAAAATTACACTAAGTTATTGAACTTAAAACTACTAATTTAAATACAAAAGAATATAAAAAATCACAAAATTTCAGTTCAAAGTGCCAATCCTAATTCATATAAAGACCATGCACTTGCCACTCGATAGCTCTTAACCCTAACATTCGTGGATCAACTTCTTTCCTAAAAATATATCTGTCTTGAGTTAATTTTTCAATATAATGATTAATATAAATAGATATATGATACAGCATGACTTAAACTGCCATAGAAAAATAATAAAAATCACATACATCCCATGCAGTTTTTTTCCAGAAGCAAATTTTCTAAGGCTTATAAAAAAGTACTATTGGCCACTACTAAATACAACCTCTACATAAAATGGCAGTTACTATAATAAGCACCACTCAAGTTCACATTATCAAATCCAGTTTCGTCACATGCTTTGCTTATCATCCTATGATTTGTCAAACGTGATATACAGCGATTGGAATAACATGGTACTGAAATTGACACCTTCGACTAGGTTGGCTAAAAGTTTTACAACTTTTTATGAAGAGAACAGACTAGAAAAAAGGTTTAGATACCAATCATAGATGGCAGGACCAGCATTAAAGTACAAGGAAAATTTTGTTTTAGAGGGCACTTATCTATATTCTCAAATGTATTTTGGGATTTTTTTTATTAAATTTCTCTTTAAACTTCATTACATAATACATTAAATAATAATAATAGTTATGCCACTATTTACAAAAATAAAATCTGAAATCCAATAAAAGAGAAGTTCTCTGTAAATTTGTTTAATTCAAAAACGTGATTTTGCACTCACAATAAGACAAAATGGCCCCAGTAGGTAAGTGGTTAAAATCTTTATGTTTTCTATGTTATAACTGACTATGGCTACATAATGTTGCATACATGAATTTTACTTACAATCTTTTACTTTAAAAGTTACTCTTCTATCTAATGAAACTTCAAATTTCAAAAATAAACATGGACAAAAAATCAATTTAAAGTATATTTTACAAATCATTTGTTATACTCAGAATAGTTACTGTCGAACAGCTACAGTTCACATTCATATTTAATGACAAATGAACCAATGTACCAATTTAAGAACAATTTTTGCAACGCATCTGTTAGTACTTTTACATATCTACCAAATTTTATAAGAATGATTTTATCTATTTAGATGTGTTTTTGAATTCACAACAAATGAAACACTACACATAATACAAACTCACTTTGGTTCTGCAGTTTCAGGAGTACTTTCTTCAACATTTCGATCCATTTCTGGTACCTCATCTTTCGCACTGTTGTACTGCAAACTGCTTAATGTAAACAATTTTAATGTTACTTGGAGATTTAGATAAAAACAAAATGCAGAATGATCCTAATGTGTTGACAATTAAAATCTTTATTAAATATTTCACCTAACAGTACTTATCACCATACCCTTAGGGGTATTGTATATTCTAAACAATTAAAATATTCTCCAAACCTGTAAAACCTCCTCTTCCTATTGAAACTGTAGCAGTTTTAAACTCTCTAGCAGAATGCTTAACACTAAAATGGAGTGCTCTTTCTCTCAGTCTACATGTAGCAAGGTAACATTAACTCAATTAACATAAAACAGATGTTGTGAATTTCACTTTTTAACTTATTTATACTTTCTTTGTCATTCCTAGTAATAACACAACAGAATACCAGTGAAATCATAAAGAAATTTAGTTCAGGTTGTTGTAATTTTCAATATTCAGTCTAACTGACTGTTTCTTTAACATTTTTGAAAGTAGTTTTGCATCCATAAAAACAAAAAAACTACACTTTAGACTTTTCTTGACAATGTAATAAAACATTTCTGCTACTTATATCAGCAGAGCAAACAAAGTTTGAAATTTTACTCAACCTACTTCTGTTACCCATTTTGCTAGTAAGTAGGCCATGGAAATTTAACTTAAATAGACACAATACCTCAACATTAGGTACTTACACGCTCCCTTGAATTCAGTTTTAACACACTTTATTTAGCCTCTTAGTAATATTAATGCAAATCATAGTTTTGGTAAAGAGGATAATTTACACTCTAATAAAATGATTTAGCAACTATAATACAAAATGTCACATTTCTATGAAAAGATGTCAATGTCTTCAATCAAAAATTCAGAATTCTTTAATTGTTAACCCAATCAATACAGTACATTTAAACTTTACAAATTCAGTAATGCATGTTTTTGAGACTTTTTTGTAGGGAAAGAAAATCAGAAGTAGAAACAATTACCAAGAAATCCTTAAGCTTGAATAAAATAGTTCTCCACACTTCCAGTTTAACAGATTTCAATCAGTTACTTTGGTTTTTATTAAAAAAAAAAAACTGAGAAAATTAGGATTTTGCTGGCATGAGTGATTAACAATTATGGACAATTTGTGAAGTTCTAAGCTTTAACTTGTCCATTTTATTGGAATCTTGGGTTCCACAAATAAAAAAAAAGAAGAGTTAAGGAAAAAATACATAGATAAGATGGGACCACATTATTTGTTTTTAACTTTTTTTTCATAACATCAAGTTTTGCATTGAAAACTAAAAGCTACCTTAATACTAGATAAAGCACATTGGACAGAAAAAATAACTTAAACTGTTTGTTTAACCAAACATGTTATGGACTGTTTTAATAAAAGAGATCTTGCTTGCTTTACTTACTCTAAATCATCATTCACTGTTCCCCAGTTGTGTGCTCCACCACCCTCTTTCTTGTCAACTGGTTTTATTCCACTGTCAGTAGTTAAAATTCAGTTTTAGAAATGTTCACATACAAATAACATTCAAACGCAAAACCAAATAACTGGTCATTCAGAAACAAAAATATTAAAACCTTATTCAAAAAGAAAAAGAATGAACTGTATACGGTACATCTAATAAACTGTACTTGCAAAGATTCGAACAATGTCAATAAAAATATTTTATTTAAGCTGAACTTACACAAATTACCAGTTATCTATAAACAGCCTGACAAATTTTAATATTTTTGAAATTCACATCAGCTTTCTTGATGTTAAAATTAACATTTTCCGTCTTACAGACACGAGACTGTTTCAAGGTCTTTCTTTAATTATTAAAACCAGCTCTTTTTAAAGACTTAATATAAACATTCATGATATTACAATTTTTCAGCAGAACTAATTTTCATAGAATAAAAATACTAGAGAAGAAAAACAAGTTTCGGACATGTTTAGACAAAATAATTTATTTGTAGTTAAAGCTTCCTGTCATTTATAATAACCAGGGTTATTACTTGTTTTCTGCATGTTGATCCATCAATAATTACTAATCTTTCATATTTGAATTTAGTAAGTATACTGCACTTCAAAACCAAATACACTATTAATAACAAGTCAAGCTACGACAGTTTTTCAGAGTAAACGAGTTTTTCTCATTCTGGCATACATTTGAAGTTTTAGGCTCATTATGATAGTTTTTCAAATCCCATATCCACCTCTTTTCACTTCCATTCTGTTTCCAAACTTCACATGATTTCTCATTAAAACTTACCTTTTATCACTTCCACTCTGTCTATCAAATTCTCGTTTACCCCTGCCATCAATCATACCCCCTCTTCCTCGCCCACCTCTGCCCCTGCCTCTTCCACCTCCACGTCCTCTCCTTAATCCAAATTCTCCATCACCACGATCCCTGAATATGAAACAAATTAAACATGAATACTATAATGTTCCAACATACTAAATTAGAGTACCTTAAGAGAAAATGAAATTAAAAATTTTAGCCTAAACACCTAACACTTTAAAAGTTTGGATTGAGAAACATAAATAATTAAGAACAAGCAAAAGCCTCAAAGTTTTAAAACCAGATACTTCATGATGAATTAACTACAGGTTTACTTAAATTCACTACCATTAGAAACATAATGATTTAAAAATATAATTATAACTATTTCTCTGTCAAGACCTTTCTGTAATTCATGAATCCTATTACTCACAAACATAAAATATAGTTTAATGAAATATTAAAATAAGCCAGCCTATTATTTTTAAGTTATACATCTTTAAAAAAACAGCACTTTAACAATATTCAGCACACATTAGCAAACTCTGATACACATTGCAAGTCCCAAAGTTAATCTAAGAAAAATTTTTAACCACATCTTTATTTGTAAAAACTTTACTAAAGGAAGACATTTATAACAGTTAGTGATTTTAACCCCATTCTTAAGCTTTTCTATGTATGTCATCAATAAACGTGGTAGCTTGAAAGCACGTCATCAATAAATTTGATATCTTTGAAAGCACCATGCCTATACCTTGAAAGTTCTTAAAATAAATTGCATTTTTTAAAACAGAAATTACAAATTATATTCTCATTCATCGCTGGTTATATTAACTCTTTATTAACACTGCTTAACTCGTAAGTAATGAGTTTTCAAGAAGAGTTAAAAAACTTTGTCCCTGTCAATGCAAACTTTTACATGAAAGTTCCAAAATCATTACCAAACCTTATTTCAAAACATCTGGAATTAATCAATCAGAATGTCTTGGAGGGGATAAAACTTAAGAAAAAATAATTATATATTTACAATTTCCAGACTAATACTAACCATTATTTGATTTTGTAACACCAGCCACTTATAACACATTTAAAAGGGAGGCATTTTGATACTTTTCAGGCTGTTCCAAAAGCTAGTTGACCAGCAGAGACAAAGCTGTTGCTAAGCCTCACTGGCTAAAAAATCTCCGTGAGGGGATAACCATTTTATCACATGCTTTTAAGACAATTTTAACTTAAAAAGGGAAATATTTCTAAAACTCTCAATAAATTTTTTGTGTCTCAGTTTTAGTTTATTTACTTCAGAATTTTTTAACATTAAAAATAGGATGCTCCAGTTTCCAACCAATTATAAAAAAACTACACATAATTACAGAAACTGAAGAAAAACGTTAATCTTCTT